AAACAATGATTTAGCCAATATTGTCATACTATGTACGCACGAACGACATTCCAAATAACTGAAGGTAACGACCCTTACAAAAAAAAATACAAAAAAACAAAATGAGTACAGAATGATGCATATATACCAGTCAACAAAAGTAACGGTACACAAGTTTGCACTCCAATTTATCATAAAATATAAGAAATAAGAAAAACTGTTAAATTATCAAATGAAAAACATTCATTTGCAAAGCAAGTGCATATGATTAAAAGAATCTGACCAAATTGAAAAGTGAGAAAATACGGTGTTATTGATCATAGGGGTCAAATTTATCATGCGAAAAATGATGATAAAAGTCGTCACTTAATGTCGAAGGGGAGAATTAAGTATTCAAATATATGCAAAGGTATTCAAAATTTGTAGTGGACCATGTTTAAGTTTAAAATTTTTAAGTTCCAATATCGATTTTTGAATTTTTTGGGTGTGAATACGATTTTTGAAATAACAAAATTGCAAAAAAAATAAATTTGCGTATTTGCCTTAAATTAATGGTTTTGATAGAAAATAACACTCTGTAAATATTAAACCAGTTTTGCAATTAAACAGTGTATCACATTTCATTATATGTTGAAAAATGCATTGCCTTGTATCGTTTCTTTTGTTGACTAGTATATTTCCAGGGCGGATGCATTAAGCATTACAGATACATATATACTTTTACTTTTCAAAAATTTACCCTCCTGGAGGTCCTTTTATCTTGGAAATCTATTTATTTAGACACGTTTTTAATTATTTTAGTAAATTTCAAGGAAAAGTGTTGAATTAAAAAAAAGTGAAAAAAAAAATGAAAGCATTTATGTTTGTTCTTATTGAATTAATTACCAGCTTCAACTAGTTGCAAGTTTATCAATAATATTAATTATTTAAAAAATAAATATTGTTTTCTGATTATTAAGTCTGGTCCGGCGCGGGACTTTTTCGCATTTTTATAGGAAATTTCCGCTTTTTTAATTGACATTTGTGCTTAAAGGGGACATTAGCTGTAAAATTCATGTTCACCGATTTGACTCAAATTCTCTTATTTGATTTATAACATACTAAAACGTATATCTTAATTGTAAAAAAGTATAAAATACAAAATTTACAATGCATGGGGTCGATAATATTTATCAGCATTTTGTGTGTATTTTAGTCTAGACGCCATCTAATTGACCATTTAGGTGACCTCCGAAGACTACCGACGGTCACATAACCCGATATAAACATACATAAAGATATGAATAGATGGCAACCTCGTGCAATTGGATTTTTTTTTGGTCTGTTTCATATTATAAGTTAATATTGTATGTTAATCATCGTTTAAACCTGTATAAGAATGATTTTTTTGTTTTTTTGTTTACCTTTGTTTCACTTTCAATGTTGACATTTGTTTCCTTTTAATAACTGAATATGCCTAATTCATGCGTAACCAATATCTAGCTAAGGGGTTAAATTGAAGGTCACATGAATATGGATTCAATGAGTTCGAACTATTCACTTGCAAGTGAATAATTCATAAGCGATGTTTCTTAGCTTATTTTGACAAAATTGAACCAAACTGGCCGCTAAAAGCGAATTATTATTTCACTATTTCACTTTCATAAATGATTTAACAAAAAACAAAATCCTCTTTTGTTTTGTTTTATATCTCGTAGCTAATGCCCCTTTAAATTTTAAGGACACTTGCCCTTTTTAAAAAAGGACATTTGCGTTTTTTCAACATAACATAACAAATAATTTGATATAGAAAAAACACAAAACATTCATATATTTATATACAGCTAAACCATCAACCTTTCCCCGTCATGCTTGTGTCAGATAAAAACGACAGCAATCTTAGGTGGATTGGAGTAAATTCCTTATAACAACCATGACTCTTTCTAAAGATTGAAATAAACAATTAATTTCCCCATAGGCGACAATGATAGCCTTTTTCGAGATACAGACTTTAGAAAGTTGATTTTTTTAACGAAACCTTGCTAGAATTAAAGAAAAGTTATTTGGAAAGTATTTTTTGGCCCTAAAAATTTAGGTTCGCGTTGCTTTTCTTAGCGTAATTTGTACTTATCTCCCATGCCTATCAATTTTGCCCTTAAAAATACGTGTCTCATCCTAGCGTTTAAAAGACATCTCAGTTCCGTTAGGGCTAAGGAAAATAATTTATTTGGCCTTTGGTATAATGCATAATGCACGAAGTCTCTAATAACAAAAAATAACGGGCGCACATATCAACCAATCAGGGTTAGCTATACTCTTAATTCTGAATACCATGTTATGCTCATAAAATGGCTGCGCCCATAAAATCTAATGGTTTATTGTAACCTAAAAGTCAACAGGTACAGCAGGTACCGTGGTTTAAAAATAAAATTTCGGTCTTCACAAATTGAACCAAGCTTAAATAAACTATAATGGTACAGTTCCCCGGACTATTCATACAACAGAATAACCACAAGAGGAATATACTTTTCAATTTTAATCCATTAATAAGAGAGCTAATTGAAAAATTTCGGTCAAATTTTAAATGTACCATCCATAAAAGTTTATTTTTGTCTATCGTTTATTAAGAAACGTAAACTATATTTTCTATAATATGTCTGGTTTACTCGAATATTTTTTTTCTGATTTTGTGACTTAAATTTTCTAAAGATTACTATTAAACTTTTAGAGGCAAAACGCGCAAATGTCTTGTCGATTTTGTTCTGGTGTATCAAAGTTGAAAGCGCAAATGTCCATAGTGTTTGAAGCGCAAATGTCCTTTCGTGTTACAGGTAAAATAGCAAAAACGTCCTGCGTCCGTCTGGTCACGCCTTGTCTTTCGCGATCAAATAATGCGTTGCCCGATCTTTCACAATCAATTTTGATGAAAAATCAACAAAATTGAATGTTTTCAAAAACAAAATGAATGGCTTCAAGCAATAACAAACTTTAATTTTACTGTACTATCTGACACACCAAAGATTGAGTTTCAAATATATCATTATATATTGGAATGTGACCATTATAGGTACAAAACGTGGTGTTTTTTTCAATAAATCTCCTTGACTTGTGTTGCGCCATTTGTGTTTTCTCATAAAGTACTGCATATTTTTCGTAATCTTATTACACGTTATTATTGAGAAAGTTTAATCATTTTGACAGACTTAATTTTTTTTTCGGATTTGTACTGTGTTTTGAAAATACAGCAGATTTTTCACAGATTTTGAAGTAGAATTGCAATTAATTACATTCACGATCCGATACCAGATCTTTCACGATCCGATCGCAATGCTTGACCAACGTTAGGTATTCTTTCACGATCATTTCTTGATATACCGAATGACAGCCGTGGATATGGCATCTAGTTGGTTAAAATAAATCATTGTGTAAATGTAAGATACAAAATCCATGATGAATGGTTGTTTGTCCAATTGAAGTTGAGATTTACGTTTTAAAGAACAAATAAGAAATGTGTACAAGTGTAAATTATAAATAAATTTCAAAATCGATAGTACATTAAATTACCGACAATCATTAGCTTAACTTTTGTTACCTAAGTAGGAAATGTTTCATATCATTTTCTTTTCCTTCAAAGTTACAAATCATGTCTACGTGTAGCTAATTTCCTGATGAAATCCTCGAATATTATTGCTGTGTACCCATTTCTAAATCCAAAACAATTCAAGGAATATATTCCGATAGCAGCTGATGGAGTGATATTGCTTGCGGTATTTTCTTTACTTTTTTTTAACTATGGTTATCTTAAGATGAGACCGATGTATTCTCTTAGAATCTTAATTTCTGAACGGAAATGGTATGACAATTAACAATTTCGTTTAACATATATATAATCCTGTGTCATGTTGGCTATTTCAAGAAATACATTGACATTTTTTTCTAGTGTGACATGTAACTTAAATTGCCGCTATGTTTTTCTAAAATTGTTTTAGTATATAAAGTCTTTTTTCGTAAATACCTTTTTCTTTATCTTTTAAAGCAATCGTAATGGAAAAAAACATATGCTTGGTTAACTACGCTGCTGAAGTACAGTAACCTAGAGACATGTAAAATAAAAAGAAAATAATACTCTTTAGTAGGTGTTGTTCAATCCTTAATTGAATGAACAACACTTTAACTCTGTTTGCATATCTTTTAAAATTAATTTCATACAATAGAAATTTAAAAACATTTAATTAATCCAAATATAATATTTCTTTTCCATGTTTAATTACCCTAATAATAGAGTACATGCACAAATTTTTTAACACTTGAAGTTTATCGCCAATTATTGAATTAGAGTTCGGACCTTTGGTCGTTGACACCGGATTGATAGCAATTTTGAGAGAGAACAAAAAGTGTAAGATATTTAGGTAAAAAGTGTAAGATATTTAGGTAAAAAGCATGTCTGGATTTGGTTAAGATGTATTTTGCACGTCATATGTGTTTCGGCTTTTTAACATATCTTTTATAATCATTATTACTAATATTAGTACAATGAGGTTGATTCCGCCCCGTATCCCGTCTGGAAGATTAAAAAGGGGTATTTTTTTGTAAGAAATATAACAATTAATTTGTAGTTATACAAGTTAATGCATATTCAAATTCAAAGCATTGTCGGTAGTACAACCATCTCAGCGCAACTTGTTTTTATTCGAAATTTATTTCTGATTTTATCCTCTGACGGAAATATGGAACTTCCCTCGGGTATTGTTCAATGGTGGTTGAATTTTGAATTTTTCTCCTTATCCATGCGTTTTAAAAGCTGAATCTGGTTGATATATATCAGGAAAAAATAAAACAAGTTGAAATATTAAAGAATATGTGTTATTGAACACTATGTAGTATAACATATACACTCATATCTACTTCTATTTAGACATCTCATAATCGAAATTCACCGCTCTCTTAAACTGAGGGAGTAAACAAGTGTCTTTTTAATTGATTTTTGTACAGTTGCTCGAATACATTTATATTAAGAATAACTTATCATATGGACACACTGATACATGTTTCTTTTGGTAATATATTAATCTACATGAAACCTGAAGATGAAATTAATCACCTGTTACAAACCACCCTTTTAATTTGATATCCATTTAAAATTACTGAACTACGTCGATGTTCGTCATACAATGATTTTGATGAAGAAAGAACATCTTAACATTTTATAGTGAGGAAAAACACATTCAAATGTGAAAAAAAAGTTTTGAAAACCACCACTAAGGAGATCGGGTAAGTTATAATACGTAAGCTAACATTACGCTTTAATATGTTAACATTGTCATATATCCTATATACCAATCATCATCCAGTCTGTCTAAACAGCTTCCACAAATGGACAATTATAAGCAAAGATTGATTGGAAATAATTACAAGCTAGTAGGTCCTTTGTTCTGACATGAGTTATACCATAATTTTGTTTAATTTATGTTGATAAATAAGAATAAGATTATTGAGAAACTTAGGTTCCAATTCCTTCAGGCAAAGTTGACGTTAGGTGAATTTTGATCTTGCTTTTGTTTCCATTTTTGTCATAAAGCCAATCCTTATTTTCAGCACTTTTACACCAATGTCTTTAAAACTTCATTGTTGTAGCGTTCCGAGTGACGTAATATCAACAAAGCATATCGGACGCGCGGAATTTATCAATTTTGTTTTTTTAATATTCCTTTACTTTCCGTAGACATCAAACTTGCACTGCATAACCTGATAAATGTCCGGTTATTCCATTAAAGTAGGCTTTAAATATTGATCACAAACATTGGTCTTACTAACAATTTCGATTTGAATTAGCGGGTCTATTGTATAGCGGTTAATATAACAAGTTGAATGGTGTAAATTTACAAAGAAATTGTTTATGAAGACATCCAACTTGTCGACAAAGGAAACATTGTCCTCTCATTGGGTAAATTGAAAACTATCAAATGCATCTCGTTCTTTATTTCCATTTAAACCAGTATACATAAGTGCAATTTTGTTCTCTCTGATTTTTAATCGGACGATGGGCTTCTTTCCCATAGTATATTTACACCATGTTATTGTAATCTTAGTAAGATATATAATTGAATAATATATGAATGTAAAGATGATATACTGAAACCAGTTTATATAGTATGATTTTAGTGTGAAAAAAACATACATGAAAGTGAAAACTGAGAATTCCAATTCATGTAAATTGATTGATTTACGTGAAGTATAACCTCCGTCAATTATTTCAGAAATTGTTAAAAAAACTAAGGTAATTAATAACTTCCTAAGCAAATATTGATTTAATGTCATTTTTGTTTTGGGCCCGTTCCTTTCAAATAACTCAATTTTTGGTTTGCACGTTCCAAATGAAGATTCATACACACATTTGTAACATAACATCGTGTTGTCCCCATAACAATGGATATACATTTCTGAATGTCTCAAAGAGAAAGGATTCGATTGATTAAAAATCAAAGTTGGTCCAAAATATCGATGAAATTAAAACATCTTTTGACTGGTTCGATGTCAGATTAAAATGCCGTTTTAGTCAACAAATTTCTAATGTAAATGGATAAACACAAATTTTTGTATTATGTGCCAGTATTTGCAAATGTTAGTGATCTGTGTAAAATGGTATCAGAAAAATACCTAACTCCAAGGTAAATTCCTGTTATTTCCTGACTTTGGAGTATACCTCTTTTGAGTTTCTTTATGTAATTTCCAAGACAAGATTTACATATAAATCAACATGGTTAAAATCTACAGAAGACTCCTTATTGGAGTTTTTGCAATGTAATGAGGACTTTTATCATTTTTTTTCGTTTTCGCGTCTGAAAAACTATTACAGATAGATAAAATTAAAACAGCCAAAATTATCAGCAAGACGAGATCTTCATATAAGGCTTCTGACCAAATTTGTTAATTCATTCTCCTTGTTGAAGTAATTGCTCTTTAATGACGATTTTTACCCATTTTGAATGTTCTGCTTCTTATTTTGGAAACTATTAAAGATCGATAGTCACTTTAAATAGCAAAAATTATCAGCAAAACACGATCTATAAGTAGGTAAAATTTTGTCAATTTGTTAGTAGAATCTTTAAAGGTATGATTCCCCTTAAATGACAATTTTTGTTTACCCTTTTTGTGTGTTTGCCTAAAACTAAATAAGAAGAGATTAATAAAGAGAGAAAATGTAAACAAAAAAGGATCACAGCAATACAAGATTTTTGTCATGAATTCTATCCTAGTCCACTATGTTGGAGATTGTCCATTGTTGTAGATACCAATAAGCCTTGAGTTTTAGTCTGAAACAAATTGAAAGCCTACATGTCTGCTGTTTACGTTTACCTATTTTAGAATTAATAAGAAACAGTGCCTTCCCAAAGTAGTATATTCAAGTATTAGTATATATATACTTCAACCCTTCAAAACAGATTCTTTAAAGACCTCTTTAACTTTATATAACTTAACATTTAATACTCTATATTTATAATGCCCACACGATACACAACCTTACCGACACATTTTAAAAGTCTCACATTTAAAATTATCATAAATTTAATGAATTCGTGTTTACTGTATAATATGACGTTATCGTATAACTTTTCCCTCTATTTGACAAAATAAACGTCAAAAAAAGATAAAGGACGATATTTGATATCAACCAAACAAGGCATTTAAAAGTCAACGAAAATAATATTTCAACAATAGTCTGTAGAATACATTAAGGTAAAAATCGTCACGAGTTAATAAAGGCATTTATAAATAACAGGATGTAAAGATGTGCAATCGAAATCAGATCCCATCATTGTATTCACGAAATATACTTTAACTACTTCATTGATAAAACATATTTTTGTTTTTAACAATTTTGTCATGTGATGTGATTCTTGCAGCTAATCATCTAGAGGTTTGGGAGCGTTACTTGTTGACCACTTTTTTTGTTGTTTGATTTTCATTGAGTTATATGCAGTGAGAAGGCGATAGAAACTGTTTTCGAACAAGTTTATGTCGCGACGTCATTGATACAATATAGAATAAACACAAACATATGTAGATCAATAATCAATGACCACATGCCTACTTGCCATATTTATTACAATATTGGTTACTTCACAAAGCCCAAGTAATATTTTGCTTATTGTAAAAAGTAATATAACAAAAATACCAAACTCCGAGGAAAATTCAAAACGGAAAGTCCCTAATCAAATGGTACAATCAAAACCTCAATCACATCAAACGAATTGGTAACAACTGTCATATTCCTAACTTGCTACAGGCATTTTCTTATGTAGAAGATGATGGAATAAACCTGGTTTTATAGCTAGCTAAACCTCTCATATGACAGTCGCATAAAATTCTATTATATTGACAACGATGTGTGAACAAAACAAACAGATATAATAGGTAAAAATGTTTAAAAATAGGGGTACAGCAGTCAACATTGTGTGATTATCTTAATCACTATAAAAACAATGAAATATGTCAACAAACGGCAAAGCACAAGAATGCAAATATTTACCATAGCACAACGACACAATGACGGGATGTATAAGTACCGAGTCACGTCAAATGGATATTTCCAAAAATAGACTAAACAGTAGAGTAATAATTTACAAAGAACTTCATCGGGCTTTACTTTGTATGAACGATTAATAGCAGTTTTGATTTATTATATTTGAAAGACAAAACGTATATATCAATTGCAACGAAATAATTTTGGTTTCATATGCTATCACATATTTCATCTCAAATTTAGAAAGCCCTCACTCTTCATTTAGAAACTGTTCATAGCTTTTAGATATCCTCACTCTTCATTTCATTACCAATTGACAACAGGTTAACATATAATATAAGAAAATGTGGCATGAGTGCTAATGAGACAACTCTCCATCCAAGTCAAAATTTGTAAAAAGTAAACCGTTATAGGTCAAAATTCGGGCTTCAACAAGGAGCATTGAGTCACACCAAACAGCAAGCTATAAAGGACCCCAAAAATGACAAGTGTAAAACCATTCAAACAGGAAAACCAACGTTCTAATTTACATAAAAAACGAGTAACACCTATGAACCACATCAACAAACAACAACCACTGAACAACTGGTTCCTGACTTAGGACAGCTGCAAAAAAATGCAGCGGGTTTAAACGTTTAAACAGGCGCCAACCTTCATCTGTGCCCGAAACAGGTTAATCGAAATTCAATCCATGCATTCACAAATTCAAAACAATGCATTAATAAACACTGGGATCTACTAAAACAGGATGCGGTTTGCAAAGAAATATTTTCAAACAAACCAATAATAGCTTATAAAAAGTGTAAAAATATAGTCGACCTATTGACATCGATAAAATTAAAATAAATTGATAGTTAAATCCCTGATGATGGCGGGCCTACAGTGCTTAAACCCATTCATTAATGTAATACATTTATGATTAGCATATAATACAATAAACAGCTGCGCCTTCAGCGCATGATACGCCCGTCACTTTTTCAAAGAAAAAAGTTCAATAACTTCTCAATGTCATATCAGAAATTAAAAAAAAAACTGAAGGGAGGTTATTTTAATAGATATAAACCAGTCACCAAAGTTTCATGAAAACTGCTCAAAGTACTTTTTGGTTATTGTCGAAAACTGGAAAATCATACCTTTTTTTATGAATAAAATCCTATAACTCTGAAACGTAAAATCTAAAATTTATAAAAATCGAAAAGGAGCTTACATTAAGATATATAAACAATTCACCGAAATTTCATAAAACCTGTTAAAGCGTTTTTGAGTTATTGTCCGAAAACTAGAAAATCCCCCTTTTTGTAATGAATAAAACCCCATAACTCGGAAACGTGAAATCTAAAATTCATAAAAATTGAAAGGGAGCTCATATCAATAAATATAAACAATTCACCAAAGTTTCATGCAAATTGGTTAAAGTGTTTTTGAGTTATTCTCCGAAAACTTGAAAATCCCCTCTTTTTTAATTAATAAAACCCTATAACTCGGAAACGTAAAATCGGAAATTTATAAAAATCAAAAGGGAGCTCACGTCAATAGATATAAACAATTCACCAAAGTTTCGTGCAAATTGGTTAAAGAATTTTTGAGTTACTGTCCGACATGTTAACGACAGACGGACGGACATTCGGATGGAAAGACGGACAGACAACGGTATACCAATATACGTCACGTAAACGGGCATAAAAAAAACTGCCGAAACATTAAATTTGTGTCTGATTGATGTAAGCAATTGCAAGTAATACTAGCA